GGGGGGGGGGGGAGGGGGCAGTTCCACCACAGTAAGGGTCATCCTTATAGGCCCGCTCAGATGACTTGTCCAGTTCATCGTGGTGCATCATCTAGCCATAGTTCATACACTGCCCGTCCGGGTTAGTCATCTCTCAGTTCTCTCCAAGCTCAGAGTTTATCCCGTGCTCCTTCAATTCATGGTTCATCTGTACCAGGTTATCCTAGCGGGTAATCTGGTTCTCGGGGCCTGATTTAGTCCCTACCACCATTGTCGGATCGAGGTTGCTGCAAGTGTAGGGATCTTGGGATCTTGGTCATATCATGAGGTAGTGTCCCCGCCTCTTAGGAGGTCTAGTTCAGTAGAGGGGACAGACTATGACTTCAGCACTAGTTACATAACCACCTGCCTAGCCAAGGGTGGGGCTTAGGCAGCTAGGGGTCGCCCAAGAGGCGAAGGCGGATCAAGTGGCGGTCAGGCCCGATTCTATGCTATTCTTTCCAGGCCAGATGCCGTTGCTTCAGACACAGTGATCACAGGTATACTCTTAGTGTGCCACAAGGATGCTTCTTTATTATTTGACTCTAGTTCCACTTATCGTGTGTATCATTGTATTTTGTTCATTATCTAGATATGCCCCGTGAGTCCTTAGTTTCATCTGTTCAAGTATCTATGTAGTGAGTGATAATATTTTTGTGGACTGTGTATATAGGTGATGTGTAGTGACTATTGGGGGATTGGAGACTAGAGTTGATCTCTTATTGCATAGTATGGTCGATTTCGACGTGATCTTAGGTATGTATTAGTTGTCTCCATGTCATTGCAGTTAGTCAACTATCGAGTACAGGCACAAGCTTTATATTACAAGTTACAATTACCAGAACTTTTGCACTCCCAAAATCGCAGAGCTTAAGCTGGTGTGTGTGGGGGTTGACCTGCGACAGCAAACTGCACTAGTCAATATCATAAACCTTTACTAGGCAGACTCTAAAGCTTCAAATACAGACCAGTAAATTCTGAGGCTTGATGTCCCTGTGGCAGACTCCTATCCCGTGTATGTAAGCCAAAGCTCTGAAAATCTGAAGATGTGTATTGTCAATAAAAACTAATTTGCAACAAATATCCTCAAGTGTAACAAAGAAGCTCACCAACAGTCATAAGCTGCAACAAATTTAAAAAATAAAACAAAATAAGCCGTAACAAGTATTCAGAATTAGTGTTGCTATAGCACATGAATCTGCCTTCTATTTAAAATGGAAAACCTGATATGTATAGAGCTTGACATAAATCATAGGCATCCTTTGGTTTGCTTTGCTGTAATGTCTCAATACACGGTATACAGTCTCAGGTACATATTCAAGAACCAAATTTAGATAAAGCTCATCCTTTTCTGTGGTTGAAAAGAAGCAATGCCTCAGTGAAACAACATTAGGATGATCAAGAAGGCGTTTGACCAAGTTGGCTCATTTCTTTCCAGTGGTGACTACTTATTGTTCAAAGCAGCTGGCTCAGGTTTATATTAGCGAGATTGTCAAACTTAATGGTGTGCCGGTATCTATCATCTCTGACCAGGGTACATAGTTTACATCATAATTATAGAGGGTCGTACAGTGTGAGTTAGGCACATGGGTTGTGTTGAGTACATCATTTTACCCTCAAATAGATGGATAGTCCGAGCGCACTATTCAGATATTAGGGGATACGCTTCGTGCATGTGTCAAGGAGTTTGGGGGTTCTCGGGATCAGTTCTTGCTGCTTGTGGAGTTTTCCTGCAACAACAGCTACCAGTCAAGCATTCAGATGGCTCCATATGAGGTCTTGTATTGGAGGCGGTGTCGGTCTCCGGTGGGTTGGTTCGAGTTGGGTGAGGTTAGGCTATTGGTACAGACTTGGTTCAAGATGCTTTGGAGAAGGTTAAATTGATTTAAGATCTGCTTCGCACAGCCCAATCTAGACATAAGATTTATAAGGATAGGAAGGTTCACGACATTGCATTCATGGTTGGGGAGCGGCTCTTGCTCCGGGTTTCGCCCATGAAAGGTGTTATGAGGTTCGGGAAGAAGGGCAAGTTGAGCCCTAGGTATATTGGACCTTTTGAGATTCTTGAGAGGATTGGAGGGGTGGTCTACAAGTTTGTAGTACCACCTAGTCTAGCTGCAGTTCATCCAGTATTCCATGTTTTTGTGCTCCTGAAGTATCGCAGTGATCCGTCTCACGTGTTGGATTTCTATTCAGTCCAGTTGCACATGGATTTGTCTTATGTTGAGGAGCCGGTAGCCATTTTTGACATACAGGTACGAAAGTTGAGGTCAGATAATATTTTTTTAGTGAAGGTTCAGTGGAGGGGTCAACCAATCGAGGAGCCGACTTGGGAGACCAAGCATGATATGCTTAGCCGTTATCCTCATCTTTACACCACTTCAACTACGTCTCTATACTCGTTCGAGGAAGAATGTTGGTTTTAAGAGAGGGAGGATGTAACGACCCGGCCATTTGTTTTGAGTATTTTATCCCTGATCCTCTATTTATTGCCTCCTCTATGTTATATTGTGATTATGTGACTTGCTGGGGTGTTCGGTTTTGGTTTTGGGTGAGTTTCGGAGTGAAACAGAACACATAGTCCCTAAGTTGGAGCCTTATATTGAAAGAGTTGACCGTAGTTTGAATTTTCTGTTGACGGTTCCAATAGCTTCATATGGTGATTTTGGACTTAGGAGCGTGTCCGAATGTTGATTTGGAGGTCTGTAGGTCATTTAAGCTTAAATTGGCGAAAGTTAGGAAGTTGAAGGTTTGGAAGGTTAGAATGTTTGACCGGGAGTTAAAATTATTGATATATGGGTCAGATTCCAATTCCGCAAGTTAGAATATGTCTGTCATGTCATTTATGACTTGTGTGCAAAGTTTGAAGTCAATCGGAGTTGTTTTGGTAGAATCCGCATTAGTTTATGGAATTCAGAATTTCATAGTTTTATAGGCTTGATTTGGGTTGCGATTCATAGAGTAGATGTTTTTTGATGTGATTTTTTGCCTCGAGTAGGTCCATTATGTGTGTTTGAAACTTGTTGATATATTCGGACGAGGTCACATGGGCACCATGTGTGATTCGGATTGAATCCGGAACAAGGTTGATTGGACCTTGTATGATTGTAGAAGGTTGTTGTGTCTGGTGCAATCGCACCTGCACATTTTTGGTAGAAGGTGTGGCACTACAGGAGCAGCCCTTGAGCCGCAGAAGAGAAAGTGGCCTTGCCCAGCTGGGACCGCAGGTGGGGTCATATGTCCGCAGAAGCGAACTCACAGATGCAGAGGTGGGCATCGCAGAAGCGGGAATTGGGAAGGCATAGAGAAGGACCACAGGTGCGGTCGCTTTTCCGCAGAAGCGGGCTCGCAGGTGTGATCCATTTTACTCAGAAGAGGAACCCCTAAATTTATGTTGAAACTGAACCTACGATGGATTTTTCGCAGGTGCGACCCTAGGCCTGTAGAAGCGAGGATCGTTGAGCAGAAAAGGGGCCTTCGAGGGTTTGAGTTTAATTTTCATATTTTGGACCTAGAGAGCTAAGTTTGTGGCGTTGTTTTGAGATTTTTTCAAGGGAATCGTTGGGGTAAGTGATTCTAATATGGATTGGACTATATTTCATGAATCTATTGTTATTTTCATCATCTAATTAGTGATTTGAGTTGGAAAACTGGGATAAGTTTATGAAAATGCTTAGGCTTAAATTTGCGGATTTGAAAAAGGATTTGAGTTTGGATTTGAGTAATTCTTGTATGGTTGAACTCATTATTGAATGGGTGTTCGAATTTTATAATTTTGGTCGGGTTTCGAGATGCGGGCCCGGGTTGACTTTTTGTGTTGACTTGTTACTTCTTTGAAAAGATCGTAACTTTATTGTTCCAAATAGTTTCCTATTGTTTATATTTTTGGTATGAAGTTGTTTTGGCTAGATTTGAGCCGTTCGAAGTTGGATAATCGAGGGAAAGTCCTACTAGTGGATTGAGTTAGCGTGTTTTGAGGTAAGTGTCTTGCCTAACTTTGGGTGGGAGAATTACCCCTTACGGTTGGTGTTATTTTGTGATAAATGTGATGTGTGGAAGCCGTGTATGCAAGGTGATGAGTGTGTACACGGGCTAAATGTGAAAATTTACCAGTTTTAGCTATGTAGATTCCTTTCATGCCTTAATTGAGTTATCTTAACATGTTATATTCATCATCTTTAGTCTATTTTCACATGCTCTACTTGTCTTATCTCTTACTTGTTAATTTCTCTACATGTTTAGTTGAAGTTCCTATTTCCTTTATTCCATATTCCTTATTTAACCATTGAATTCTTTACTTGAAGTTGTTATTCTTGGAATATCTTGTTGTTGAAAGTGGAATTGAGTTATAAAGGTCGTGATTCACATTGAGGCAAAGTGTTAAGTTGTGAAATACTATTCTAGTTGAGTTATTCACTTCTGGTTGTCATTGTTGATACTCTTGTGCATATTGTGATTGAGCCACGGGCTACTTGTTCTGAAAATACTATTGTTGTTGGTTTCTTGGCAAGTTGTGTTATTGGACACTTGAGGTGCTATTTGTGATACATGGTTATATTGATAGGCATACGATGGTATAAGGTTTTGGTGTTAAAACGCATGAGGTGAGATAAGTTGGACTTGATACGCGTGTTGATGGTAGGGGAACTACTTGAAGCCACGCAGTGTGATGAGGTGGGCTAAAATGCGGGAAGCTATTTCGGGAAAATGATTTTCAAAACTAAATGCAAGGCTCCCGCGGTGATAGAAAGAAAGATTGTGGATTATTCTTGTGATTTGAGACTATGAGGCGGTACCTCAGTAGTGACTCTTGTTGGTATTTATCTATTACTTCACTTGTGTTAGGTTGTTTTGTTTCCTTGACTTAACATTTCTTGTTTTCTTCCGTGATGCATAATTTGCCTTGTTTCTGTGTAGTTAATTTGGCATATTCCTTGCCTGTTTCATTTCCATTGTTATTATTATTGCATTGTTAAATTACTCATTCTGTCTCTTATTTATTCCTGTAGGGCCTTGACCTAACCTCGTCACTGCTCTACCGAGGTTAGGCTTGGCACTTACTGGGTACCGTTGTGATGTACTCATGCTACGCTTTTCTACATCTTTTGAGAAGATCCAGGTACCTCCAACCAGTCCAGGCACCAGTGGGTTGAGTTCGTACTTGGAGACTTCAAGGTACCCCTGCCGGCGTCCGCAGGCCTCGGAGTCACCCTCTACCCATTTCTATATTTTCCTTCTTTTATTAGATACAGTTATATAGGGACGATTATGACACCGTTGTAGAGCTTGTGACTCGATATCACAATGTTTAAGGGAAATTGTATATGCTGAGTTGTGTAGTTTTTTTTTTTATTAAAATTGTTGAGTATTTGAGAGTTTATGTGATATTTCACTTATATTCCGCATGTTTGTTTCGCTTACCTAGTCTTAGAGACTAGGTGCCACCACGACATTCTACGGAGGGAAATTGGGATCGTGACATCATTGCATTTGACCTCTGGACCTCGAATAATCATGAGGAGGTCCCCATGCTCCGATGTAACAGAACAAAGAAATCTGGAGACTCAAAGTTTCACCTTTGAGTCTTAGGGTTTGGACATGGGGATTTCAAATTCGATTGGTGAAAGAGGAAATGGTTCAGCGGGAATCACGGATGCAGGAGATAGTAGGGATGAATCTTTGAGCGATTTGAGACCTTGCACGGATTTGTGCAATGATTTTCTTGACTGGTTAGGTGATGGGAGTTGAGAGAGTAGAGATGA